ATATGGCATTTTTCTTCTTCACACGAGCAGAAATTGGTGCTGTGTGGAAGGCACGCTAGAGGTGAGAAAATCCTAACCTCGATTTTCCACCAAAGTGCAAAAAGCACGGAGAAATTGGCACAGAACTGCTGAGGCGCAAAGGAAAAGGGCGACCGAAGAAATCGAGGAGGCCACGATCGTGCACTTCTACTCGCAAAGACTCCGATTTGTCAACTGGTGACTTGCTCAATGCGCCTATACTTGAAGTAATGCCTACGTCACGACCACCAGAGAGCCTCTCTCTCTCGCTCTCACGAGAGAGCGAGCGCGTGTGAAGTTAGAAAAAAGCGGATTCACTGTGACAACAACAAAAAAAATAGTACACCGCGCGTCTCTCTCTGTCGCGCGCCCTTCCACGACCGATAGCCAGGCCAGCGATCATCCAGAAATGTCAGTATTGCATCAGCTGTCGCACGAGCGAGACGGAGCGAGAGGCTCTGGGGGCTCGTCTCTCGTCGCACCAATCGCAGTGCAGCCAATGCTCCGCTCTCTTTCTCTCTAGCTCTCTTGAGCGTCACGTGGACACAGACTCGGCAGTTCTCACTTCACACGTTTCCTCATCCATGGACTGTTGTCGCCATGACGAGATCAGAGCCTCCTGCGCCGCGTGACGTCACGCAGGGGTGCATTAAACTCTGGTCAGAAAGTGTGGCACATTTTGACGGAATCGCGTTAACCTCTGGCGCTGAACCGCGAAATTGGAATGTTTATGAAATACAGCGAGATGCGAAAACTCGATTTTTCCCACATTTCTGACCGGGTCTTATCAGCGCAGAGAGTCTCGAGACAAAGAATCAACAGCCCGGCGCGTTAAAAATAGATCACGACCGAGGGGGTCATCATACTGAGAACCGCAATACAGCGACCGAAATGTGAGTATCAATTGGAGCAGATAGCGAGATTTTGGGGGAGAAATTAGCCTTCGGTGTGACCTTTGATAGGCAAAGTAGGTGAAATGATTTGTTGGAAATTTACCACATTTGTTTTTACTGAATTACCGCCCTTTTGACGTTACTTAGAGCGCAAAATCATCATGACAGCGTACCACCAGGCGTCTCCACTGTGACATTTGACATGCTTCGGCTGAGCTTTTTGACCAAGTTTACGCGAAGCAAAACAGTTGATTTTTACTTTATTGTTTATTTCTTGCAATATTTCTTTAAATATTAATAATTATGATACAATAATCTATAATTTCATCTTTTTTAATATAATGTATAATGTATAATAATATAATATAAATTGACTGTCAGGATTTTTCGCGTTTTTTTTTCTTTGTTCAATCTCTTTTTACTCTCAATATCTTAGGTTTTTATTCCCATTATGGTTTTTTTTTGGTTTAATTTAATTTCGCTCCACTAATTATTAAATCGCATGTCATTTTTTTGGGCTTTTCACCACCACTTCTTCTTTATTACAATTGGTTTAAAGAGTTTATAATTCAATCTCATATAATACTTTTATTTACTTAATGTTTTTTTTTACTTCTTCATCTTCTTTTTTATATCTTTTTTACGTTCACTGTCAACAAGTTTTGGCATTATTCTTTGTACACTTTAATAAGATTTAACATATTAATTGAGACAAAAAAGGATTAATAATCAATTCTACTATTTGTTTGCTAGATTTTTTTTGCGTTTTCCTAATCTCGCAAAACACAGTAGAATTTAGGAGGTTTTCTGATGAAGGACAAAAATTACGAGGATCTCATCAAAATCACAATAATTCGTTTTCCTTTTCATTTCGCTCAAATTATTTACAAAGTCATCTTGTCTAATGATTTTTTTCCCTAATTTAACCACTAATTAAAGACATTCTCAACAAACACTTCTCGTCAATGCTGCAAATATTGTATAAATATCAAAGCTTCCTCAATTTTCTTCACTTCTTGTCTCCTATTTTCTTTTTCTCTTGTCTAAACACATCTTCGGTGTCTTTATTCTAATCGCGAATAACAAAATAATACACTGTGAACTCTGAAGATGTCAAACAATGCGCGTCAGCGACTTTCTGCTGTGCTGCTCTTCTTCTGAAAACCTTTCAGAGTTCACGTGAGCAACAGAAAAGGTGCTAACATTAAAGCTTTGGCATAAAATCTTTGGCGCAAAAAGGTCTTTCCATCTAACTACTTGTTTCTTTCCTGGATTACAAAGAGAAATGTTGATAATTGTTGGTGGCTGATGTGTTGTTGTGTGTCGTTTATGTCCCGAAGAGACAGAGTTTTGACTGATTTTTGACTACGAATTTTTGTGACAAGCTCCTGTGTCCAGAGAGTGAGTGGAAAGAGAGGAAGAGGAGAAGAAGATGTCTGATATTGTGTTGTGAATGTCTTCAACAGACATCTTTGGTTGATGTTGTCGGTGATGTTAATGATCATTGAACGACCTGCAGAAGAGGAAAATAGTATAAATTACAAAATTGAGTGAAGATAATATTGCTGGACAGATAAAATGATAAAAAATCGTGGGCAAAATTCAAACATAATAATACAAACGTGAGATGTAAATTTTTGCACACAAACTCATGTTTTTCTTCATTCTTTCTTGTTTTTTTTTTCAAGCACTTTGTGACGCTCCATCTGCGCGCGCGTGTTGAAAAGAGTCGAGAATGTCGGTGTCGATGTTGTGAAAAGAAGTTTGTTGTGTGAAAATCTTAAGAGGAGGCAGAAAATGTTTGCAATCTGTAGTGTTTTCGTGGCACGAAGAAAAAGAAGAAATTAAAGAGTGTTTTACTGTCATTCAAAATGTGTGTATTATGTTTAAAATGTCAAAATATTTCACCTTAGAATTTAAAAGTTAAGATAATTTGATTAATATTTCAATTCATTTATTCCACTAAATATGTCTTCATTCTAAACTCTTTTTTGCTTCCCTCACGGTTTATCGTTTTTCATCTTCCTTCAATGTTTGCCTCTTGTTCTTAACTTTCTCTTTTCCAAACAACAAACGTAAGAATCATTTTTTTCTTCTTCTTCCTTTTGATATTTAATAGGTATAAATTTTGTGGTGTTTTTGTGTATTTCTTTTCTCTTTTTTTCGTGTAGTGTGAACAATATTTTTTTTTGACATTCTTGGCAAAAAAATTCTAACAACAAATTTGATTTAATTTTTTTCTCCAACATGTTCACACAATAAAAAATCTTTTTTTTTTGCCTAAACAATATTTTTTTTTTGTGAATTGCGGGGGAAAATGAATGAATTTAATCACTAATACAACAAGTTTTTTTCCACACTTCTCTATCTCGTTCTGGACATTTAACTAACAAAAAACACAATGAAATAATTCACTAATTAATTCGTCTCCACTAAAAAATTATGGATAACCATTAGAAAATAATGCGCTAACTTCTTCTTCACATCTCGTAAAATATTTTCACTACATAATATTTTTAATTCAATCTTTAGTCATTTAAATTCGTTGTGCCAATTTGTTTCTTCTCTTCTTTCATCTTGTGTTCTGCGCGTCTCTTCAATGTGACCACTTCTTAGTCGGTTTCTTTCTGTTGTTGTTGTGAAATTTCACAGCAATCAGCACAAATATTCTCAATGTTTCCAATGTCAATTTAGACTGTGGAAAGTTTGCGCATTGTTAGTTCAAAAGTGCATTAAAAATTATTGTGCTGAAGACTGTGTCTCTTCACTGTGTTGGTTAGTGAGGTGAAATGAGCAAAATTAGGCTTTGGGGGTTTTTTCCATATCATGACAATCTCAGAAAATTCCATCGACAACTGCCTATTTTCACGTCAATTTTTACTTCTATATTTTCATCTTATAACAACTGAAAAAAATGTCTCAGACAATAAGCATCTACGTTCCACCACAGATTGGTTGATGGAGTCCACAAATGGTGTTGAGAGAAAAAAAGAAGCTTTTCTTCATATAACGAGAGAAATGTCTCACTTTGGCACATGTTTACACATCTTATGCAAAGAAAAATTCGACAGAAAATCGGAAAAGGTTGAAGAGTTTTTGGGATTTGACAGTGAGGAAGAGATATGTTAGGGATGCTCAAAATGCCTTTTTTTGGTCACTTTTGCCTTCTTTGGTGCACTCAAAGTATATTTTGGGAGGGGTTGAGGATAAAGAAGGGGAGAAAAATGCATGAGAATGAATCTCACGAAATTGATCACGTTCAGCCAATCTGTGGTTTATCTCGGAGTTCTTTTCTAAGAGGCACATTTTTTTTATAATTGACGCTTACCCACTTTTTTCATCTATTTTTTTTTACTCTTCTTACATGTTAATTGGTAATTTTTATCTCTTCAGTATTACAGTAATTTTCATTTTTTTTTAATATAATAATTACATGTAAATGCTGTTTTTCTCTTCTTTTCTTTCTTGGGATGCTTAAACAGGGAAAAGAGGAAGTTTCCAATGACGACAATGACTTTTTTCTTCTTCTTGTTAAATTGTTACAGTAGACGATATCAATTTTTTTTTGGTATTTTTTTTAAGTTAGTTCTTGCTCATGTTCATCACTAAAATTGTTATAGAAAAAAGCGCACAGAGATATTTTTTTCTTACTTACAAACTACCATTCTTTCACATATGATTTTGCCACTGACAATCTTCTGCCTGACTTCTCTTTGCTTCCTATAATTGTATGTTTTTTTGCAACAGCGAAGGTACTGTTCAAAGGTGGGTGAAGAATGCAAGGAAAAGATTTATCGCATTTAGAAGAGATTCGCCAACTTTCCTCTAAAGCTTCTTGTTCTCCCAGTGTATTTTTTTATCTTTCCTCCTTTTCAACTTTCTCTCCTTTACTCGGCTTTATCGTCATTCCCAATGGCAAATTACGCAAAATACACATTGAAAAAGGTTGTTTTTTTTCATCATTAAGTACATACAGACATACATTTAAGTATATTTTGTTTTTTTTGCTTATCTTTTTCATCTTATAAGAAATTAATCAAAAGACTGAATAAATTTAGTAATCATATACCTCACAATTTTCCTTCTTAATTTTTCTTCTTCTTCTTCATCATCATCAAAGAGATATGTTTAGGGTTTATCATGTTCACGTTTAAAAACTATTGTCAATTTTTCCTCTTGAATCATGTTTTTTTCCTTCTTTCTTCTTACCTCACTTTTCACCACTAATAAATTAGTTGATTTTTCCTCCTTCGCTTCTTCACATCTTCACTTAAATATATTACACACATTTCTAACAGTTTTTTTTCATTGCAAATTATTATGTCCTTTTTGTGTGGTCTCAAATCGAGAGAAATATGTTTTGTCTTTAGAATAACACTCGATTTTTTTCTCTTTTTCTCTTGTGAGACCACAGATTCTAGACAAGTAGAGTTTGCAGAGTTTTTTTTTCATAGAGCTTTCATTAAATAGATTAAGATTTTTTTTAAACACATATTTCATCATTTTCTTCGTTTACTTTCATTTGAATACGATATTTCTTTTTTTTTCTTTCACTTTGTCTCATCATTAAATATAGCTATAGTATTGATTTCTTTGTTTTGTTTTACGATAAAGAACAGCAACAGTTGGATAGATTTCATCATGTGTTGTGTGTGTGTGTGTGGAATAATCTCTCGCGGTTTCACTCATTGACCATTTCTCGGTGTCTTTCGTATATATTATGTACAGGGGGACGCGGGAAAACCAAGTGGGACGCTCTGGCGAGGGAAAGCGTGACGCATTCTCTGTTCCACAAATGGGAAATCCTTTCAGTGGGAGAGGTTAATTTGTTAGATTCCTACCATTACTATTTTGTTATGTATGGTTATCATTTAAAATGTGTGTGTTTCACATACTTTTTTTTCATCTTTAAATCCTTTTACAGTAACTTGAGAAATATTCAGCTTAAAATATATTACGCCTTCACATCCTTCTTCCCCTTTCTTTCATTTTTTTAGTAGACGAATATACAAGAGAATGGAGATTTCTTCTTCTTCCTTTATTACAAATGTTTTCTTCTTCTTCAGTTGTTCTTTTTTCTGGAGACAAAAAAAACCTATATGTTTCATCATTCTTCCCTCTTTAGGTGGGGTTAGGAGCAAAAATGGGTGTGTTTCTCATCATTTCTATTCACTATATTCAAATATAATTTTTGTATGAGAAAATGTGGTTATTCTTGTATGCTTTTTCTCTGCACTTTAATATATAAATTTCATTTTGGGGAAAAAATGTCTTGTTGGGATTCTTCAATATGTTTCTTTTCTTTCATCCTTTTTCCTCTTTGCTAAATATTAGAATTTCTTTACCATTTTGGTTTGTGTTGTTTCAAGTGTTTTCTTTTTCTTCTTCTTAATTTTCTTAGGCCAGACATTCGGAGGCTATTTTTTCCATAAACATTGAATTAATTTTATTTAGAAAATTGGTTGTTCTCTGAATGAGATTTTCCACTCATTGCACTGTTTTTTTCTCTCTCTCTTCCTTCAGCTCTAAAATGCTAACCAACAAAGTCAAATTTACCTATTCTGATCAAAACCTCTGCCAAAAGACATGCTTAAGTGACATGCCTAAGCTTCACTACAATTTTTTTTTCTTTTTGTTTAAATTTTTATTATCTAAATGTGATATCTTAGAGTTTTTTTTCTCTCAATTTATTTACTCTTCTTCTCACTCTGTGTTCTTCTTCCCTTCGCGAGACATTTTGGCTAAAACACTACAAAGATATGCGTCTAAAATGTACACAGAATTTTTCTCTTATCATGCAAAACACATTTTGCTCTCTTCTGTGTTTTTTCATGCTTTCCTTTTTTTCTTGGTACTTTTCACTATATTTTTTCCTCTCTCACTCTCTCATTTTAGTTGGAATAAAAATTTTTCTTTTGATATATATTCATTTGCATTTAAATTCTCTCTTAAAATTGTATTTCTTTTTATTTCATTTGACTGCAGATTCTCAAAGCATTGCGAATTTCTCACTTTTCTAAGTCACTCGTAATTTCTCACTTTTCTCTGCGAACTAAAATGTTCTGCAAAAGTCAATTAGAGGATTTAATAAGAGTCTAACGTTGAGCAATCTCGTCATTTTTCATTACCAAAACCATATTTTTCACACATTTCTTGGACAGCAAAATTGCTGCAAACTATATGACATTTTATCTTTCTTTTTATCAGTGGAGAATATCAAGAAGAAAAACTCGCATAACTTTTTTTCGTAATGCTTGAGAATCTGAAGTCGTTCAGTGTGTCTTTTCGTGTGTGTTTTTTTGCTCGTCAACAAAATCAAAACAGTATGAAAGAAAATCATGTGAAAAGTCACAACAGAACAGAAAGACAAGTGAAATAATTGATAAAACTAGCAATAGAAATTCACGTCTCACTGAATTTGATGGTTGAATAAAGGAGAAATGCACAGTTTGAAATAAAAAAAAATATTGTGATATGTTTTCCAATCACACAATTATCCCATATTTTTTCTTCAATCCAGTGATTTTTCTTCACGCTTGACATGAATCATTTTGCTCAACAAGTTGGTTCGCAATTGTATTCGCCACATCTTCAGTTTTTTTCTTTATTTTTTAAATTCATCTTCAGAAAATATTGCACGACTTTCAAGTTTTGCACTATTTTTTGTGTTCTCCCGTTTTTTCTTCTCCCTTTGTCCTTAAAAATTCTCATTAAAAATTACAATAATTCTCTTATCGCCATTGTTAAATAGGGTTGTTTTTCACCTTCTCCTCTTATCCTTTTTCTCATCGTCTTTGTAAAGAGAGTGTAATTAAGTTAGTTTAATATATTAAAACTCTGGGTGAGTCATCAAAAAAGTTAAAAGTGGTTCTATTTACACTTTCTGCCTTAAGGGTTTCTTTTTCCTCTTTTTTTCTCTTTAACTTTGCTCTATAAGTGATATTTCTTCATTAAATATTGGACCACATTGTGTATTTTTTCATATTTTCCCATTGATTTTTTTTCATCTTTTCTTTACCTCGTGAAATATTTTTTTCTTCCTCCTCTTTATCTTCTTCCTCAGAGATATGTAAGAAATAATATTTTTCCATTATTATTACTTTTTAGCACAAGAAGTTTATTAATTTTAATAATACTTTCCATCCAATCAATTAAGTTTTTCCTCCACATATTTCATCGTTCGTTTCCTCATGTCTTCAACTCTTTCTTGAGTCACATTGCAAGAAATAATAATAAATAAGTTTGAAATAACAGAAATAAAACAGAGATTTGGGGTTAACACACACTCAAATTACGTTTTTTTTTTCTTTTAAATAGAAAAATTTCCCCATAAATGTTTCCTTTTTAAATACAAAAAAAATCTTATTGCAATAAAATACTCTCTATTTTAGCTGATTTCACTTCCCATTCTCTCACTCGCACTCTTTCGTTCTATGGTTTTATTGGGGTTTTTCAGGGAAAACCAACAAAAAAAACCTCACAACTCATTGTAACAGGTAAATAAAATAAATTAAGTTCAATGCACAAAGTCAAAAAATAACCTTTTTACAATAAAAAAAATCAAAATAATATGTGGGAAAGAACAAATATGTAACAAAAAGGAACTCAAGTAATTGCTAAATTTATTGTGATGCATTTGTACGATATAAAATTATATCGTTTTTCATTTCTCTGTTATTAGTATAATTATTTATATAAGAAAATGAATCCTCAAAGTGAGGACAAAACAAGAAAATTGTACAAATTTACCACAAAATTAAACTAATTTGTTAGTTTTGTTGAAAACCATCGTTTGATAACACACGCATTGTGATTTTAAAATACAAATTTACTCTCATTTGCTGCATTTTAAAACAAATTTTCAATTAAAGTTACGATAAACTTCAACATTTTCTCCACGCTTCTTCTTCATTATCATCTTCTTCTTCTTGTAATGTACCATTCATCGTTTGATATGGTAAATTTCTCAGTATTTCGTCACTTTTCCTGTTGTAATTCTCAATTTTTGTTTCTTTCATTTATATTAGATAAAACTGATATATTGCTGAAGGAGTATGAATGATTTGCTTCCTTATCATCTTTCCCTCTTTGTCACTACATTATTATAATTAAATAAAAACACGTCTCACGTGAGATAAAATCTCACTTCGTCAGTTTTTTTTCTTCTTCATCTCCTCGCGATAGTTTGCATGACGCGTTATTGCGTTCAATCTGGTGTGTATCCGATGATCAGATGGGGTTTTGTTTGCATATGATTCACATGTTCCTGCGCCACCTAATTCTCCCCATTCATCTTCTCGCCATTGTTCTCGGCCGACCAGGTGCCATTCATGCTCTTGGACGATGAGAAGCACAGCTTCATGATGAAAGGGAATTTAGTGCCTGAAATAAGGACACACAATTTCATTTCACATTATTCTGCCCAAAAGCCAATTAAGTTGCAGTTAAAAGAAGCACTCAATTTTAGTCTCTCACCTTTGCTCTCGATTGGGATATGATTGCACTTCATGATGGCCAACACGGCCTGAGCCACACTGGAGAATTCAATTAGGCCTGACGATGAGCGTTCCGTCTTCAGCGGAAACATTCTCACGGCGGTCGGTGGAACTTCTTTTATGTTGAAAATCCCTATCAATTGCTCCTCTGTCAGTCCCGGTGGTGTGTTGAAAAAGTGCAAAATCTGCCAAAAGAACATCATCAACAGAAATTATATTTCTGTCTGGAGAATCCTTAAGAAAACTCAAGGGGAGATATTGCGGTTAGAAGTGGTGTACAGTTTAGCAGAAGGGTTTAGAAGTGGAATATTTTTGCAGTCATTAGGCGTTTAAGAGCTACTTTCAAAGTAAATAACCGCAATTAATTGAGTCTTTTGGAAAAATCTATAAATTTCCGTAAAAAAGCGAAGAAAATTCATGTTTTAAGAACTGCAAAAGTTCTGGAACTGTCTGTGATTCTTCGCAGAAATTATAAAAATACACTATTTAGACGTATTATCTCTCCCTTGGCGAAAACATCATATTTTCTCACCTTGCTCGGCGGTTGAATGCGATTCTTGCTCGCCTGTGTTGGCGATAAGAACCGATTATTCTTCGATCCCGTGAATTCCTTGAAGCTGGGCGTATGATCTGGAAGACTGAATGGATTTGTGACCTCAGACAGGAAATTTTGCTTTGAAAAGCTGCAACAACAAGAAAAGAAAAGTTCCAATTTAGTCCAGAGGAATTATCAGCAGATGTTTTTTTCTTCATGTAAAACTCACGCAATCTGTAATTTGCCATTATTACCGACGGGAATGTTATTGAGATGTTGGACACACCGTTCAACTGCCACTGAATCTCCCATTTGAACCATGGCGGTTCCTTCTTTGGTTTTCAAGAACTTTATCTGCAAAGTGGGAATTAAGAACGTTTTATCTGATGCACGGCTTAAATCAACCATTAAGTTGTTTGCTGTTGTATTTATTTGTACAAATTCTCTCTCGCTCTTATGTATTTTGTGTAAAATTAGGTTGTTTTTTTCTTTAATTAGAGGAGAGAAAAAAAATCAGGAAATTTCCTTCTGCCAGTGATTTATAAATACACATTGCTTGAATTGATTTATTTATGAGTTATAATTGGAAATGCATTTGTGTGTAGTCAGCTCGAAAACGTGAGTCGCATTAATGCTTCCTTTTCAGTTAGGAAAATTGCTCCTTCGGCAGGATGTTGTGTTCGGAAGGCAAGGGGATTTATATTTAACTAAGGGAGTGACTTAAGGAGAATCTAGAAGCCAAATTGGGATATTAAAAATTTAATCTGTTATCCATTGAAGTTAGCCAATAAAAGTTAATTAATCAAGGAATATTTCACACACTCACCCTGGCAACATTCCCATACAGACAGACCAGATTGAAGAGCTTCTCCGTGTTTGACGTCTGCCCATCGAGGCCGTACACCATCATCACGGCGCCCTGCTGCTGTCCCTGCGACACGAAGTTCACGCTGGGATTCCTAGTGGCGGGTCCCATGCCGGGCGTCTCCTTGATGATGCCCGCGTGCGCCGGCGGCTGCTTCCAGCTCTCCGTGGCCTGGTGGAAGTCAGGTGGTCCATAGCCCGGGAATCCCGTCGATCCTGGCCCGAGAAGCGGTGGCTCTGCAACACAACACAACACGCCGTGTTCAATTTGGCACACCAAATCCCCATGTAAATTCCTCATATATGCTAATTAAAATCACAATGACACTGGCGCTCAAGAGTTGAACCAGAGAATTCCACACGTTTGATCACAAACACAGTGAAGTGAGAGGAGCTCAGCAACCATCTCTCTATGTTGGGGACCTTCCAATACAATAGGATTACATATTGTTGATACGTGACGCCACATAATAATGCCTCGTTGGCCATTTCCCCATTTTCATCTCCTCTCTATATACATATATATGGGAAACCCACTTCACTATTCGCCTCATGAGTGCATTTTCACATGGCATTCGCCCCTATTGAGCACTTTACTTCATGGCGTGTGCAAGAATTGCACCCCCTTTTTTGTGTCTCCAAGCCCAAAATCACAATGCTCACGATGCACAATTGCCAGCCACAAAATGCAATATCAAAGAGGAAATGCTTCATCTGTTCCACACCATTTTCCACCACAACTAGTGCATCTCCAACAGCGAAAAAGGGAATCAACAAAACACACAATCTGGCAATTCTCGAGGAGTATGAACTTAATATACATCGCCATTACGTTCCAACTGTTGCATATTAATTTTTTGGGGGGAAGTTTCGGAAGCTGTTCAGCCGCTCGCCATTCAGCACAGAAGGAAGATGATGATGATTATAAAGGGCAGATTAAATGGTTGAGAGCGTCCATTGATGGGAATAATTAAAAATTAAGTCCAGCATTAATCTCGACGCGAAAGTTTTCAACCCAAGGAAATTGAAAGAAACTTCGTTAACCCTTAAGAAATGCCGAGTATGAGAGAGAGAAAGTTGTAATTTCTAACATCAACAGAGAATAATTTAAAAACTTCTTTTAGTGTAAACGAAAGACTTGACCTTTAAACTATCGTCTTTTGATCTCTCTCTCTTTCTCTTTATCTATAAATTATAATTGTGGCTAAAATAAAATCTAATTCATCTTCTCTCATGCTGAAATTCCATCCGCAAATTTGTCCCTCAACAGATTGATTGTGAATTGGTTTTATTGGGCGTCTCAGTTTTAGGGGTAGACAATCAAAAAACACCCTCCTCAGTGTGATTTGTGTGTTTCTCAAATTGGATTTCAACATCCGCACACACACACACACAATGTACTGGATTTAATGACACAGTCAAATAACTTTTGCCCATCTTCACAAGCAAATTTCCAGGCCAATCTCTCTCCCTTTGCTTTTTACCATCCCCACAGATTAATTCAATCTGTCGATAAATCCCCGACGGTGCCTTTTTCGGGCCCAGGTGAAAAGATCTCTTCGATAATTATTGAGGTGGAAACGAGGAGTGTTTGATGGATTGACTGTGTGCTCATGCTCTGGGAAGGGGGGAAAAGGTGTCAATGAGAATCAAGTGTTATCAGCGCCTTCCTTCGCATCTTCTCAAATGCCTTTCATTGCGCGCTCTGCAATCAGGAAAGTGGATTTTCTGTGCGGAAATGAATTTTCAGCAATATATATACTGAACCAACGCAATTGTGCCAGAGGAAAGAAAAATCCTCAATTGAAAGGATGAATCAGAAGAGTAATATTTCCTCATACAGTGACTGCCAATGGAATAAAGCTCAATTTCTTCGCAATTGTTCCCTTGACACATTGTATTTATGCTAAAACTAACTTTAAAAATTAAAATTTCTCTAATTGAATGCATAATACAATTTAAAAAAAAAACTAACGATAAAGGCTTAAATTGTGTGAAAAACAAGATCAATTGCCCTATTTCAATGGAAGTCACTGTACATCATATGTATAATAATCGGTAATGGAAACCCGGAGAAAATGGATAAAGTTTGAGATCAGGCGAGCTTCAATTGCGGAAGAACTCCCAGAGACCAAAGATATCAAAGTTTGTGCAACTCTTGCTATCAAGTTCTCTCATTTCAGTTGCAAACTCGGTTACTAATTGAAAATCACACCTCAATTGATTGAACACATTCTCATATTCATCTTCTTTCATCCCTCATATTTCCACTCAAAACAAATCTACAGAACAAGTCGAAAATTCCCACTGATGGGAAATTGAAGTGACTACAATATGTATAAGAGATGGTGCTGAAAGTGAGAAGAAAATGATAAATCACCGAATATAACAAGAGATTGTGTTTCTCAATCAAAAAGATATTACCGAAAATAGCTGGAAAATATGGCTGGTGGAGTGAAATATCGACATCTCCCTTGTCTGTCTGTCTCACAGTTCCAAATGGTTAAAATTTGATCAAGAATTTTCCAATTTTCTCCCCCTCAACTGCCAAGGAAAGCGCGATGAAAAGTGCCAAAATCAACTGCGGCGCCCAATCAAAGCCCCATGAAAGACTGACCGAGGAATTGAAACAGATGGTGACAAAAGAATAAGCAGACAGACAGAGAAAAAATGAAGAATAAATTGTGTATATCATCAGCACGGATTTTAAATTAAAAAAAAAATTCACAGAGCTCAAACAGAAAATCCAGCGTGCCAATTAATGGGAAACTTTTGATCTCTATCAATTGAAAATTTTGCGTGTTGCACTGAAAGCCTCGGATGAGATTCAATTTGCAGTGAAATGAGTGGAAAAAGCATATAAATATAAATTGGAGCTACTTTTTTCTGTCACAAACCACAAATATCCACCTTCACCTCTTTTTTGGATTCATTTTCACAAGGCCTACATTGCAAATAAAATTTTTAATTACATTCTCGCCCTAACAAGTTCCATATAACGTGAAAAATCCATTGAAAATTCCTTTTATATTTTAAGCTTTGCACGGATAATATTGTACAGATTTTTCGTTAGCGATATATATTTCAATATTAATTATTTTGGGATTTTTATAGCAATAATAAAAAAAGGATTATGCGATATACGCTTATTAAAACCAGGCAATTATGGAGAATATAACTTAACGTATATAACTTAACTTACGTATATAACTAAATGGTTGAATTCATGTGATGTTTGTGTGATTGAATTCCAAAAAATGTATTTCACAAATCTAATTGCAACCTTATAAAATGCAAATCTCATTCTAGAGTGCATTCAAGCATCATAACATACATATTGTCTGGGAGGAAAAGATGGGATGCACTTTACAATAAAGCAGACAGGAAGCATGAAAAGCCCCACATATGGAGTCATCCTTCCGATCCAATATTACAGACAAATTTGCCCTCCGAAGAACACACCGAGGAATCACTGCGATATTCTCATTCACTGCAAAAGTTCACTTTCTGCATGATTCTGTCTACCACTATTGAATATTCAATGAGAAACGGGGTGAAATATGAATAATCTTTAGACAACATTCCACCATCTTCTTTTCCACTCCCACGTGCGCGTATTTTGTGGGACAAATTTCACCCCATCACAGTCCCTTCTTCATGATGAATTGCTAAATGATTTAATTGCATAAATTATGCAGTTTAAAAGTCACACAGTAATTTCCCAACGGGGTATGCCACCCTTATACACACATACAGCATTGTGTCGGCTTTTCTTCATGCAAACATCATGAAAACTACACATTTGAGATATTGCATTATACAGAATTTCAGTTGAAGCACTTTAAACAGCAACTTTCAGTTGTTATTAGACACTAAATCGCAACTTTTTTCCTTCGAAAGCTCCAACAATAATCATACTTAGCGTTCTGGGATGTCTTCAGTGTCTTTTATTATTTATAAAGCAACGTTATTCTTGAATAATTTTTTTTCCCATTTTCCTGTTTTGTCAAGCTGAATTTCGTTTTTTCTTGTCAAAGTGCCTCTTCTCAAGTACACAAAACATTTAAAGAATTCTCCCAACAAAAATCTAAGTTTAACCGTCAGTTTATCAAATAAGATAATTACCCACGAAACCCCCAAAAAAAAACTCTTAATTGATATTCATCGAGAACCTTCGTCCATTAATTTAATTAGTTTAAAAACTGTGTGAAATCACACGGAAATTGACGAGAGAATTGAGCGTGCGTTGTCTAAAAGAGTCCGAAAACTTTTTTATTTGGGGATAAATTTATGAGATGACACGTGGATTACCAAGTGATCGTCTCTATTGGTGAATTTATGGGAAATTCCTGGGGTCACGTGGTGGGAATTTATTTTTGAAAGCCCTCCCAAGCGGCTCTGAGGGTGCGAGAGAGCTGATCAGCCGTGGGTTCGCTGATGGTGTCATGTGTCGAATGAGATGACTCGCGCGTCTCATGAGACATGACTGAGACAAGGCGAAAGGAGATGCTATTTCGATGATTCTGCTTGGGTCTCCTCTTCGTGGCGCGGCGCGGCGCGAAAACCCGGGGAAAATGCCAACATATGTGCGTGTTTCGAGGGGAAAATGCTTAAGCATCTCACATCATGTGTCCATACACTAAATTGGCAAATATTTATTTTTGTATTTCAACAACTCCTCAACTGTCTCTCATCAAAATTTCAACCCACGACACATATTCTAACTCTTCCACGCAATTTTCTTCTCAAAACTTCCATTGGCCATTTATCTGACAATTATATAAATTATGCGGTAATAACCTGTGCTTCAGCATTTTCCTCTCACACACACATTACAAATCGATTGGGTTCTTTTCTGTTTTCACAAAAAAGAAAACATGAGGGAAAAATCTCGAGCGTAAATTATATGTTTCATTCATAAAAGTCCACCTCAATCATGTTTCTTCTCAAAAAACCCAAAACAAGATACACAACGATAGCCTTACATCATGACCAATCAGTATGTATTTATTTTAATCAATCACAACTGCAAATACTCTAGCCCAGATCCGGACGCGCGCACAAGGCGGGAAATTAATCTTCGCGCCCATTGCAATTTTCTCTCTCAGTCGATTTGGATGAATTAATTTGACGACATGTACAAAATGCACACGACTATTTGCTCTTTGCCCATTTGCCAAAATTTTCTAATATTGCCCACCACACAATTTTCCCACTCGAAATTTTCCGTATGTAACCCATATGTATGTATGTGTGTGTGTGTGTCATTAGGAGCAAATGGCTCGTAGAAAATTGCCACCTCCCAGCAATGGGAGAACCACTTTTGCACTAAATGCAGCAGTTGAAAAGAAGGTGGAGCATAATTATGGCGAATGAATCTATTTAATACGCCATGTCAAGTGAGCAAATGAGATGAGGCCAAATACTTTCGTCCTCACAAAATATTATACAATCAATCTTATCAGCTTCTATTGCAATTTCTCTGCATTTTCTTTCTCTCTCCCCATCAATTTTCCCATCTCTATTATTGCCCTGGCATGGCCGAGAGTTTTGCTACACGCTGCCGAAGCTTTCATTGCAAAACCCCGAGTAAAACGGGAGGAGATTAATTCATTGGACGATGAATAAAACACGGAGGAATTTCTCATTTCACCACTCATCCAAGATAATATCCAATGAAATATGATAATAGTAGATATCACGTGAATGTATATATCTTCAGTCTGCTCCTCTACATTCTCACCAAAAGTGTCTTAATCGCCTTAATCATGATTGTACAACACAAAATTACTTTCTACTATTGACAATGCGTTATTTTGTCTTTCCAAGTCCTGATAGACTTTGGAGACAAATTCTATTGGACAAAATCTCCACTTTCGGCATGATTTGGTTTCTACAGACACACGCACGCACAACTTTGTCATCGTGAGATCAATTTGCAGACACATTTAGAGAAGAGGATGCACACATGGATAGAGGGGGAGGGGCGAGAATATGAATGATTTGTTTGTTACAAAAGCTCTACTCACTGTTCTTTCTGCCCGGCTCCCCCATTGTCTTCGCTAAAGTTGGGATAAATGAGAGAAAAAAGAGCGATATTATACACAAAAAGACATACAAATTGTAATGGTTAAACAAATTGATGGGTGGAAATGTTTTTGGGAGGAATATGTATGGGCGAGAGTGTCACATTGTGGAACACCCCTAAACAGAAATTACACAAAAACAAGAGTCTTTTTCTGTTGTGCGACTGTAAAAAAATATATATATATAAAAAGCACCAGATAATTATGACATTTTCCCATCTGGCTCATGCATTTTCATGATCCATCCACTGCAATTCTTTTACACTTCCCACTCTCACACCCCGCCAGATTGCAACTCTGCGTTGTGTAAATCATCACTGAGGGGGTGAGAAAAATGTTTGCGTGCAAAGTGTGTGTGAGTGTGAAAAAAGCTCACTATGGTGAAAACTCAATACAAAAGCTCTGAAATTGCACAAACAGATGCTGCACTCGCCCTCAAAGCATCTCCCCTCCCTTGCGCTCTGCAGGTGCCGGCGCGGTGTACAAAATGTGCACTCGTTGTGCTCTTTTCCACCCACAACGGCGCTTTTTTTTTTCAACACGCCTCATGGCGTAAAAAAGACTCACCACCCATCCTCAACCATTATTCCTGCTGTGTTATGCAATTATCAAATTGCAACACAGACAAGATTACACCACAGAAAGGCGAACAGGATGCAATCAGGAGGTGTTTTTTCTTTGTGTCATCCTGAGAGCACTTGTTCATTACGTGAATTATATTTAGGAAATCCCAAAGCAGTTGCTCGGAAATTAACCCTCAATTATGGTATTCTCATTCATTCACTATTTCTCAGATAGTATACAGCAATTTTTCTGCACTACCCAAAAGTTCTCTTGCAAATAACCAACACAATATGCAAATGAGAGCACTAAAATTGCGCTATAAAATTAAAAAATTCATGCAAATGCGACGGAAAATATGTGCAAGAGTGTCAAAAACACTCTCGATTATAATGAAAATTATGGAGAATTGTTGATGGAATGCATGAAAAAAATTAACCAAATTAACATTCCTCATAAATTGTGTTACTCCTCTGCTAATATATTTGATTTTCACTCTCTAGAACTCCGTGAGGCACTTTGAGAAAATTTATTGAATTGCGTTTGTGTATATTGTGTAAATATCCTCGCTCTCTCTCTTTATTTATTTATATTTGGTGAATTCCTCAATAAAATCACACACGTTTTTTTTTCTCCCAACACACTTCTTTTTCTCTCCTCCTCATCTTCATTATTCCGCGTGATTTTATCTCTCTTGGCGCGCACTGATATCTGAATGTTTTTGGACGCCAAAATGCAACTCAACAGATGAATTGGGATGTTTATGCATCCATTAAATCGTAATAATAATTCCTCTTTCTTCATCAGTCGTTACACCATTATAAAAATAACAATAATTTTACACAAAATACGTCGATTTTGTGAAAATCTAAAAGCGACCCAGAAGCGGGCAACAAAATAAAATACAGATCTATTTTCGCCCATAATGAACACATCACTTGCCACATGCTCAAGACACCCTCACAAGAAGCGCCGCGTCGCAATGAATCTTTGACTTTTACAATGTTGTGCTTGTTTTTAATTAAAAGACAAGAAAAAGATATTAAAATGAAAATACAACGCTTGAATGGGGAATGACTATAAAAAGACCTCTCCACACTCCTTTTTTTCGACAACAAGAAATCAACTCTCGGCATTGTTTGTCAGGGAATCCAATTACGATGAGGGTGATTTGGAAATATTCAATAGCGAGGCGCTGAAATAACCATGCTTTTCAGCATGAACAGACACGATAGGTCTTATTTTGTACTCAAAGCCACTCTAGGATGCTATTTTTACGGGTATTTTCCACTGTTCAACGTCAAAAAATCCACCCTCTCACGACCATTAAAGTGATGATGGTGATCTTAAGAGACTTTCTCCCTTCATGGTCTTATGTCATTTTATTGGCTACACACAACATACAATATTCTCCCCATTTTCCATTCAATGCACCCCCAAAATTGCCTAAGTGTCCCTTTTTCCTCCAATGACCCATCATGGATACATAAAACTGCCAAGTAAGTACTTTCTGTGTGTGTGTGCCGATATTTTACAGAGAATGAGAGATTTTGACGTGCCCACACGCGTTACACCCCCTCTAGCGACAGGTGGTCACAACACAGCAAGAGATTCCTCCCAAATATACATAATACGTGTGTAGTTACAAATGAAGGAGGGAATTGAGAGTGTAGAAATTGGGTGGGTACTTGTAAATCAAATCGCGTGCTCGTGAATGACGAAAGTTTCCATCTTGACCGAATTTTCTCTCTCTCTCTCTCTTTTTCTCATTCTATTGAATTTCTTTCTATCATGCCGAGAAGTATTTTTAGCGGAAATTCGATTGAAGGAATTGAGAAAGTACACACGAAAGTATTCCCTTCGAGCACTCCTTCATTTATTTTCACTCACCCTTTTCCATCACCAACAACACTGCGCGCCATGATGACGAATTGGTCAAGCATTTTAGGGCCAAGAGTCTTCCATGATGGAAAGCAATGACAGTCCATCATCGATTGACACTCACACTATTTGACTTTCTTCGATATTGTTAAGGGCAGACGAAGAAGACGAAAAAAACCTTCTCTTCTCCTCGTTTTTTTTGGGTGGTGAAGAATGTGTGGCCTGAGGGTGGGAGTGTGAAAGGGATAGAAGAGTGACAACCGATAATAAGGACCTTAGTAAGGGATTCATGAAGATTTTCATGTCCTTCTTTCCCTCAATGGTCAGAAAGGAAGGAGGAGAGAGAGAAAAAGCCTCAGTGGTGACACAATAAAGGAACATATTGAAATATTCTCACACATTTCACACAAAACACTGAAAGCTCTTTGTGAAATAGGACAACTTATCACAGCTATTGTCATCGAAAAAATACATCCTTCACGTCAAACAGCACATCCTCATCAATTTGTAGTAATAAAAGGGATATTTGTGAATTTTCTTCCATTTCGCTCGATTTTGAGATCAAGCAATCATCTCCTGTGGCAGTTGAGGTGACTTTGAAGATCATATGTCAAGTACTAAACCCCTTAACCACACATAAACGACACTCAAGAAGAAAATGTGACTGATGACAGCGGAATTGTCCTTATTTGTCTTAACAAATTATAACGAGGAAGAAGAACAAAGTCTATCTATCTACGCTATCTTTCAAGCACAATTCAGTCTATAAGTATCTAGGATTCTCCCAAAAATCCGAACTCACCTTAAAGCGATGCTCAACAGATACTTATCCGGATTTTTCCCCCATTGGAAAAGTCCACGGAAGGAATTTTCATGTAAATTTCCTCACTGTGGTTCATGGGACATATAACTTTTTTTCACCCCCCAAAGTTCCATTAAATATTTTACGACGAGGGTCACATACGGGCCAGAAAAATTCATTAAACCCATATAGTTTTTAGAGAATGGGTGCGAGATGAAGCTCCTCCGTCTGTTTAAAGCGTGAATTTTTTTTTGCGCGACAACGGCGAAATCTTTTTGTCACACATATTTATTATTAATGCACAAAATGGTGAGAGAAACAGAGTTTCACAGTAAAATTTCTCTACCAAGTATTTAAAGTGAAAATTACCATATTGTGAAGGAGAGAAAATACTCTGTTGCATTTTAATACATTCTCTTCATCTTCTGCAATGGAAAAGCCATTTGAAGGATTTTTCCACCGTTCGAATGTCATTGAATTCGACTCTTATTCAAATTTATTGTATAAATGTATGTGTGACGGTGAAAAGGAGCTTTCAAGAAATATTTGCACTGTTCCTCATCTCAAACTTCAGGACTCTGTTCCATTCACAACACACTCAGGAGTTGTATGAAAAGGACAAGTGGAAATGCATAATACATCAAACAGTGAAATGGTGAAAAAAAAGTTAAAATATTTTTCTCTACATAACGAGATACACTTTTTTCCACCCAACGAAAAGCGCATGAAAGGAATAAAAGTGACACTCAACTTCCTTTCTTTCTGATGCCTTTAGGTGTATAGGAAAAATGTGTACATAAGATGAAAAGTATACCGGAAATGTTATTTGGAATGACATGGCGAATATTGTAATTTTTGCACGCAATTTTATCAACAATTTTTCATATATACATGTATATTTCACTAATCCCCTCAGTTCAATAAATACATGCTGAGTAATCCAAAATCTATGCTTATTATATTCATATTTCAAATGATATGTAAATCAGGCTCACTCAGCATGAAATTTGACAAACAGAATAATGCAATCAATTCAATGATTAAATACCCGGGATATTCAATTCAATTGTGATATTGCATATCTTTGCCAAAGCACACATTATAATTAATGTTACTTTTATCACATTATATCATGCAAAATATTATAATTATATTTTCCTTGATTCATAAGCTTATTTAGAAAATAAAAATATGGGATGAAAAGCAAATTTCATTCAGAAAATCAATAAATTTTCATCAATAACATAATATGATATGAAACTAAAGAAAATAAATCTGATACTATTTTATGATAATTTTCAGCCATAAAAAGTACAACCTTTACATAATTGTATGTTTTTTTTTTCTCTCCTCATCTTCACCATTAGTGAATCACAATAAATGCGAATACAGAAGTGCGATGAAAACAAGTGAAATTTACATTCATGAAACTTATCATAAGAATTGCGTTCATTCCACTCGCATAAAATAAAAAAGAAAATGTGCAACAATAACACATAAATCCAACTGTACACGTCTCATCAAACTTTCACTCTAATGCACATCCATTATCATATTTATACTCTTTTGCCATTCAAATTGTAAACACCGATGGCTCAAAATCCAATTAAAAAACTCGCACGAATATGCGCGTGAGTCACAATTTTTTTTTCACTGCGATGCCACGGAAAATTCTATTGAAAGTGAAATTTGTCAAAGTGTTCAGGGACACTTTCTGTCCATTTATCATCTTCAGTCTCGCAATTGAGATGACATGCGAACGCCAAGAGATAGCGAGGAAATTAGCTATTAATACCAGAACAAGTGTCACATCATTGCATAATAAACCATAAATAATGCTCAATGTTAATCAACCATCTTCATAAATTTTCATTCTATCAGTCACAAAACACTGCGTTCAAATCCCATCTTTTCACCCATTTTTCACACAGTGTATGTGTGTGTGTGTCCTCTGGAAATCTTAAAGAACTCCTCATTAGTCACTCTCCCGCCCAAAGGTATTTGTCGTCACCTGTTGAGGAACTTCTCCACCACCGCTTTGAAATCTACACCTCACGAACATTTCCACTCTCAGTGGAAATTGATAGAGGGCGAGAGAGAGAGAGAGACTCCGAATTGAAAAAAAAGAGTCACACAGAGTGGATCAAATACACACTCCTCTTAATAGAATTCTTTGTCAAATATTTGCCATCACCAGATTCACTCTGGGTGTTGAAAGTAAAAAAGTAAAAAACTGTGTGAGAGAGAAATTGAATTGATATGGTGATAAAAATTTCATCAAATTAACAATTCCCTTTAGCATCCTGTCATGCAAAAAGTTCAAACAAGTCAGGAACAAGTTCAAACAGGGACTCAGAAAAAGCCAACACACGAAGTAGAATTTGTGAGACGAATTTTGCGGTGTTTTTTTTGACTACACGAGGGAGTAAAATTGATAATAAGTTTGGTGAAAATTCAGGGAAAAATTTCACAATTCCCTCCATCACCAAATTTCTCTTCCCTTTTGTGTGTAAAAGCATCCCTTGATCATTTCATGTCGCAGATTAGTAGGGAAATTTCCCAGTGTAAAACGTCTGAGTGGGAGAAATTGCTGGATTTGATGTCATCAAGGCAACAATAATATGCTGTAACATGACTCAAAATCCCACCAAAAACACAATCCCAGAAACGTGAAAGCACTCAAGAACGTGAGGACAATGGGAAAAACCGCAAAGTGACCCTTATATTATGTATTTGTTTGTGTGCTTCATTATTTTGTCTGTCTCTTTTTTTTCGAGAGGACTCAGAGAATTGTGTGTATGAAAATGTTCGTCAGAGAGAATTTCCGTAAAGGAGACACACAAGAGGGATTCTCTCGTCAAAGACCATTAAATCTCCTCAAATGAGAGTGAGTCAGGAAGAGGCGACAGACGGAAGTTGTTGCAGAGCTCTACGGGGGAAAAAATAGAAGTCCGACAGGAACTTTGAATGAATATATAAACAACACTCTGGCAAATGTTTACAATTGTGACACATTCAATCTGGGGATTTGAAAGAAACGAAGAAAAAAGTCTGTGCCCAATGTCAGTTTATGAAGGAAATTTGGCACACATAGCTAAATAATCAAATGAAAACGTGGTTCCGCACAATAAAGCTCAAGATGGCCCACAGTTGGCTCCTCTATAAGAGGCATATTCTTCACGCCCATGGTTTGTAATTTATATTTGATGCGTGTTAAATATTCATCACATTAAGCAACTAATATTAATCCGCACATCATTTATGCACAACTTTGCCGCGAATATCTGATTAATTGCCATTCAACTTGTCTCAACACTTCGTCACCCCTTTTTTCTTCACCCAAACACACTCTCTCTACACATCATGATCATCAATGGGGCAATTTCTGTCAATGAAAACCATCAAGGAATTTTTGGCATTGAAACTTTTGCGGTCAAATTCACTAAATTGCGAATGCCATCATTTTCCTCCCTCTCTCAATGTCAATTAAATTTATGAATGAACTTTTGCCTGAGTGTTACTTAGCACTCTTTCACTCTCTTTAAATGGATGAGCTTCGCATGCCTTTTGCCACCCTTCGTTGATTCTATAATTAAATTTTCGCTGAGCCACAGTGGAGAAAATGTCCACTTTATTGTGCAACTTGAGATGACGAAGCAGTAAAATGTGACTTCAAATCCCTTCACATTTTGACTTTTAACTCCCTTAAAATGGGGAACAAAGAAAAACTATATATTCTGATATTCATCACAAATAATATGCTGATTTTGCATAATTTTCACGAAAAATTCACCCTCAATTTTCCTGTTGGAAAAATATCGGGAAAAAAACAGAGGACAAAAGGCAGAAAAGTCTGGGGAAAAGAGGACATTTGTACTGAAATAATTCAATATAGAATCATTGCATACATTTATAAACGCAACATTTAACCTCTATTTTAATAAATAGAGCGATTTTGTGGAGATAAAATGAGTTTCATTCACTCTTCTGCGACTCAATTTTGCTACAAAAAGCCACAAATGATACAAATGATTTCTCTTTGTTATGCAATTACTAATCAATTTCCGTGTTTATCTGATCAACTTTTGCTTAAATTCATTTATATTCAAGGTTTTTTTGATGAAATTTGACTACATTTTTATTATATATAAAAAAAATTGACAAGAGCGTGGAAATTGAGTTAAGACAGAATGTCTACTAATGTATGCAATATTTCTACATTCAATTGCGTGCATCCTTCGTATTCTACTCACTGTATGGCTGCGGACGTGATCCGTAGAGTGGATCCTGCAGAAGGGGTGATCTTCCATTTCCGACCTCTTTCACTGCAAAGACAGAAGACAAGAGAAGTGTCACTGATAAATGACACACTCGCCAGTCCTATCAATGTCTCTCTGTGCGACGCTCACAGAATGTGTTGAGAGCACACACATTTTTTCTCTATAAAAGCCGTGATAATTGCAACCGTTGCCACGGACAGCCGGAAAGGCTCCTAAAAAATAACTGCAATATCCTCTGCAATTAAATATTCGCCATGAACCCGAGGGAGAAAATCATCATACACTCATACACACACACGCGAGAAAGCAGCTCGAAATAATGTGGATAATTTTTGTATGAAACGCCACCAACCCCAGACTAAGGGGATGAAACACGTGAAAGTACATCATGAGCGGAAGCTGCAAAAGTGCTCAACTCATGCCGGAGCAATGTGAAAACTTTTGTTGATGAAGCACTCATTTGCCCATTATTATTCACTTTTCAGCTCTCTCATTATTTTCGTGCCCAGTTTTTCCGGGGAGCTCAAAAATACCTGTATGGCGAATATGAAAACAATGTGGTTGTGAAAGAACTCTTGACGCACCATCAGAATAGAAGCCAAAACCCGACAAATTGAATTTGTGTGAGAAGAGAAAAGTCTCTTTTGGCTATGAATGGATATTTTATCTTGTGAGACTATAAGAGAAAATCCCCCCAAATTTGGCGGTGGAATCAATAAAAGCAAATGGCTTTGGTGGAACTAAAGTCCTCTCTATCTCTGTCGCCCTTCCACTCTCACCACTGGGTCACAATTGATTTGGATATTGGGAGGAAAAGTAAGAGAATAGCTGTGCATCAGTGTGTCTTGTCATTGTTATACACAAGTCAGAGAAGAGACTATTGGAAAATGCAAATCGTGATTATTTCAGCATTATTCAAATCATATCAAATTGACTGTTTTTGGGATGTCGATTCGAGTGAAAAGCACTCGTCGTCGTTATAGTTCGTGTGCGATACACCAAAATAAGGACAACGATGGCGTGGGAAAAGGAAAATCCATGTCATATCTACTGTATCGCCACAAAGTCATTGCGATGGAAGAGATGTTTTTGATGAATTTCAGCTGATATGGCCTGTGATTTGCATGGAATTCATTTTGCTCAACTTGCAATGCATGAGCAAAATTGAATTTTTAACCACTGCAGAGAGAATTCGTTAGACTGGCAAATATTCTCGTCAAACATCTAATGGTATGTGACATGACTTCCACAGAAACTTTTACTTGGGAGAATATAATTGATACTCTCATCGATTTTCTCACACTATCATTTGTACATAAAAACTCTGGTACAAATGAAATAGAGCAAAAGGAGAGTCTCAACCAATTGGTACAATTTAGACACATTTAGACTTGTTCACAGTGTGACAGGAAAAAGTGGTGAAAGTTTAATGACTTCTAAAATTCACCAGGAGAGCGAGAGTGTGAGAGAGAAAAAACTTTTCCTACTTCAAGAAAAGTGAACTCTTTTTCACTCGTTTCGAGAGAGAAAAAGCTGAAAAGTCAATTGAAAATCTGAGTGGAAATGGAGGAGAAAAAAAACTTTCGATACATTCCAATTAAAACTGAACATACTTTTGCTCATTGTCGTTGTGGCTTGTTTTCAACCCCCATCATGATTAAAAATGTGAGATAAAGCCGAAAAGCGATAATTAGAGTGGATTTAATTAAGAAAAAAAATCGAGAAAAAGTCTGGCAATTTCCTTTCAGCAAAATAAAAATCGATTTGGCTGTAAATTTTATCCATACACATGTAAATCCATGAAACAATGCAATTTCCTATATTGTACGATATATGTTCAATTAAATCTCCTCTTATGCACATCATTTCGAGTTCATCTTCCTACAAAATAATCTCCACACTATTATATGTTTGCGAATATGTTTTTGCCACCCCAACGAAATGGCAGTGGCAAATGGAAATTGAAATTTTAAATATTTACATTTACACCGGCAATCGTCTGATCATTTCACATTTTGAAGGCCTTTTCTCTGACTCCGACCCACTTTTTTCCACCCCCTCGCACGCCATTGCACGCCCATTTGTGACGATCTCAAAGCACATCTTCTTCTCTCGTGTATATGAATTTTTATAGTTAATTCCAACTCCTCATCGTGCAAAGTTCATATCCGGGGGAATGGAAAGAAAAGATGCCACATGAAGGCAAAGGCGATATAATGAAAAGCCCCTCGAGGTGAAACTTTAGGTGCACAGAAGAGAAATCCTCCTTTAATATTCTCAACATTATATCGCCACCTTGTGTGTTTGTGTGCGCGCTCTATTTTCACCCCCTCTGGCCTCTTTTTTTCCCACCCGCAAAACATACACAAATACGTGTGGAAATGCTTCCTCCATCATTTTTCACTCTCCACCAAGCAATATTGCAAAATATCCTTGGCAATATTGCGGGTGGAGAAAATAGCCATAAGACAAGCTGGGGATTCACCTTAAGATATTACATAAATATAAGAAAGTTCCAAATTATTCACAAAATTGCAAATCCCGCAGATTAAAGGGTTTCATTTGCAGCTTCTTCTGCGAGTCGAAAATGCCAAGTACTCTTCATACCCATTTCTTATGCCTCAACAGAAGGCTATTTTTCATAATAATCAACTTCCTTCTGCTTTTTATTACTCCTTTTATTACAATTCTTTCCACTCTTTTCCCTTCGCATTTCCCCCTTCCCCTCCCCCACCCCTCCCATCAGTGCTTAATGAACTTTCGCCATTTTCCACGCGACTGCGAGATGTTCATCCACACAGAGAGAGGAAAATTGATTCATTTTGCCTCTGACAATTGAAGAACAAAAAGGTTCTTTTTTTTCAGAAGGAGAAAAAAAAGAACACAATTTGAGATATCATTAAATTCTTGACCATATTTCCTCTCTTTTTTTTCCTCAATACAATAAAGAACAAAAATATTCCCATTGTGATAAATTCAAATTTTTCCAAATAACAAAAAAAATTATCCACCCTTGGCATTTTTTTTTTCTCTTTGCATGCTGAATTACAAGGAACTTTGTAATATTCAGTAAATCTCCTTTTCTCTCTCTCCCTTTCTCTCTCTTTCTTTCTTTCTTAAACATTGTCTTCAATCAGTGCTCATAAAGGAGCAAAATTAAATGGATATCATCCAGTGGAAAAAAGTATTATATTTCCCTCTGTTGTGAAACAATATATTTATAAAGTCAGAAAGATGGGGATGAGTATCTTACTGTCCTTCGCACATTTTCCCTCAAGGCGGCACGCAGAAAAATATCTTCCAGATGTTTTGTGTTTGGAAAAGGGTTTGATTTGGGTAGAAAATTCACTGAAAGCTCACGTGACTTTGGCTTAAGTCATCCATAGAGGAAAAGAGGGTAGTTTTGAAATCAGCCGAAGATAGACGAAAATACAGTCCTAATTGCCACAATCTCCCCTACAAACCTTATTATCAGTCAAAGACAAGAAGCTTTTGCACCCAAATGGATATAAAAGGAAAGTCACGATTGGTTTCAGTGACAGGAAAAGAGTGAAATCATGTGGAAATATGGGATAAATGTAGAGAAATTTAATTTCCTCTAGCCTCTCTTGTCCATCCAAAGTCACTCTTTCTTCTCAAACAGAGACAAGAATAACAAAGAGAAATATAACCAAATAATTGCTGAGATATTGGACAAGAGAGGACAAATTCCTTTCTGATGCTCTAAGAAATTTGTCTCTAAAACTTTCTACATTGGATATAGTCCTGACCAACAAAAGACCTATGAAACTTTTGGCAAACTTTCAGTTGTAAAATAAATTAAACTCTCAATAAAAGGTGAGGAATTCCTTCACGTGTCGCGCGCGCGGAAAGTTTTATTGGCCGTATTCTGTCACCCCTAGACACTGAATTTTCCACCCCCAAAACAACCACAAACATACACATATAGACACTGGCAAAATCAATAGAATCACTAATTCTTCAGTGAATTCGTTACCCCCAAAAAATAGGTTTATCGACCCACTCTTTTTGGCCGCACCACTGAAGAGTGTGAGAATTGCTTTTTCACGAGCGCCACCCGCCAAAATACATCGCGCGCGACCAAAAGTGAGGGATTGAAAGATGGTAAAATATCATGTGATTGTGATATGATAACTTTAGCGTGATACCAGGGAATAAAACCAAAAGTCATCCCCTTATTCACCATATATATATAGGAGGCAAAAGGAAGTTCAATTTGCCCCCGCGCATAGACTTTCAGTAGAACGTGAAAATCGCAATAAAAAGCTTTCCTTTCCACATATATATCAAATACACACATATTTTCCCGTTGATGTGGTAAAACTTCATCCTCATGTGATCACATTTCCATTTAATATAAACAATTTCCTCCCCCATTTCGAATTCTTTTGCCAATGTTTCCCAGTCTAACAAACAGATTTTTTTTCCACTGTCTCTCTCACTCTTACCGAGAGGCCAAATTTGAAGGGTGAAAAATATTGACGGAAAACGAGGTATTTTTTTTTCAACGTGCGCACGAGGGAAAAGAGGAAAAAACAACACTGTTCACATTTGCAATAAAATCTCCACCAAAGAAAACTTTTCACATCAAAGCTCTGAGCGAATATTCACGACTTTTACCTCTCAAACAGTATTTTCATTTGACAATCTCTAAAGCACCGAATCACCAGAACCACTTGTATGATGGAAAGTTCGCGCGCGTCTCATTGGAGGGAAAAGATAAAAAAGCTCTCTCTTCTGCGCGTATAACAAACTTTCTTCGCAAGACAAGGACGAAGAAAAAAGCTAGCGAGACATCGTAAAATAAACAATTTACGCTCAATTGAGAAGTCACTGGTGAAGATGGTTGTGAAAGAGTGAAAAAAGTAACCCCGAGAATGAGGTGGAAATTTTAAGAGGAAAGAAAACGGGCGATAATGTAAACACCCAGATTCCTCTTTCAGCATTGCGGAATAGAAAGAAAACATCCACATTATTCGCATTCAACGCATTCATGACCTGATATAAATTTCACAACTAATTAG